GATACGATACCCTTGGCTCATGGACCGTTTCCCCTGGTGGCCCCAAATAAGCAGCTGACCCCTTGCCGGGGGTTGCCCAGGGGGCTTCAACAGGAGCTGCGATCCAGAATCAGCCGGGCCAGCCTTGCTGGAGAAGCAGGAGCCTCCCCACGGCTCAGACCAGCCAGTGGTGCCAATTCCCTCTCCGCACTCCCATCAGCAGCATTTGGGAGGCCATTCATCAGAAGGGCAATTTGGCTCCCGCTGTGCCTAGGGGACCGCGGTTAGCTGGCAGAGTGTGCGAAAGCACATACTGCTCCGCCGAGCTCGGAACGGGACGCCTGGGAAGACAAAGGTCCCTCCCAACACCTGCTAACAGAGACAGGCCAGGGACGGAAGCCGGGGCCCTTCTGCACGCAACGAAGGGGCTCTCCTGGTGATCCGCGGCCCCTCCTCCTGTTAAGCGGCACTGGGCACGCCGCGGCCCGTTTGCCAAGAGAGCAGGCCTTTTCTCGCTCCATTAGAGGAGCCTCTCTACCCGTGCCAAGAGGCACTACTTCGCCGGCCTGCTCTTGACCGTATGCCCAGTGCACTATCTGGAATTAATCTCCAGCTTTGCCCGTATAAAGACCAGCACATCTCCTGCCCCGAGCGCTCTGATCAGTGCCGCAGACAGATCGGAAAGAACTGGTGGTGTTTTCCCTCTGCAAAAGGGAGGCCGGCCATTTCCCCCTTCGGTCTCCGTCATCAGGCAGCCCTGGTGTCTATCCCCAGCTCCATCGGTCCCTTCCCTCTGGAAAGAAGAGCCAGCACCGGGGGCCACACGCGTGCCCGTGTATCTGTAATATCCTTAAAACCGTATCTTTGTGATGAATTTTTACTGCAGGTGGCTTTGAAAGCCAGACTTGGGAAATACAAATAGAATACATAACCAAACAGCTAAAATAATCCATCTTTTGGAAGCCGGCACAGCCTCACCCAATTAAAATCGGCGAAATGGCTCATCCATTCCGTTTTAGGACTCGGACAAACTGCAGATGGCAAGACATTCCCACTGTGAAAAATGGGATATTGTGCGGTGCAGCGTGGAAAGGCACAGAAAAGAGCAACCAAAAATTATCAGGGGGCTACAGCGGGGTCCCTGTGAGGATTGGTTAAAATGCTTAGGGCTAAGGGGGAAAGTGAGTAAGGGGAGATACCATAGAGGTCTATAAAATCATGCATGGCATGGAGAGAGTGGACAGGAAGCAACTCTTCCTCTTCCTCCCTCTCCAATAATACCGGAACCCAGGATCATCCTCGAGGGTGGGAAACTCAGGACAGACAAAAAGAAGTCCTTCTTCATACAGTGCATAGTTAAATTGTGGAACTTGCTGCCACAGCATGCGGTGATGGCTGCCAATCTGGAAGGCTGGAGTGGACAAATTCGGGTTGCCAGGTCCCTACCTTTTGGTGGTGGGGGGCTCCTGGCCCCTCTCCAGGATTTTCAAGCACGCATGCAAAGCGCAGGGAGCGCCCACCTGGAAACAGCAGCTGATGGCTTGGAACTTCCGAACATTCACTCTTTGGCAGCCATTTTGTGACTGATCTCACTTCCCATGGCAGCCATTTTCTGGGGGTTCCTACGATCCTTTCACAAAATTCCAAAAACGTCCACAAGCTCAACAGGATAGGGGACCCCTGCAAATCTAATCCGTGCGCCAAATGAGGCCTGGATTACCTCTCTGTATTAGACTAAAGGTCTGCAAAGCCTAGGACTCAGAGAGTGATTAAAATGTGGAATTTGCTGCCAGAAGATGTAGTGATGGTCACAGGAATAAACAGCTTTAAAAGGGGATTATATAGATCCATGGAGGAGAAGTCTATCAATGGCTACTAGGCATGGTGGCTGAGGGGAACCTCCACGTTCAGAGGCACTAAGCCACTGAATCCCAGAGCCAGGAGGCAACATCAGGGGAAGGCCTCGGCCTCTGTGGCATGTTGTTGGCCCTCCAGAGGAACTGGTTGAGGCCACTTTGTGAGACAGGATGCTGGACTAGATCGACCACTGGTCTGATCCAGCAGGGCTCTTCTTATGTTCTTATGACTACCCAACAGTGGCAGCTTGAAGTTCTAAATATATGTGTATTATGTGCTGTCAAGTCGCTTCCAACTCATGGTGACCCTATGAATTAATGAGCTCCAAAATGTCCTGTCATTAACTTCCTCGCTCAGGTCTGTTTTGCAAACCGCAGGCCGTGGCTTCGTTCACGGAGTCGTTGGCTCTCCTTCCTTCCCTACTGCCTTCCACTTTTCGCAGCGTTATCATGTTTGGGGATGGGTGGGAGACAGTGGCATCATGAGCTCTCCAAACTAGATCCACTGTCTTCCCCCCCCCATTACTAGACTGCTCCCTGCTTCCCCCCTCCCCAAAATAGCGCCGGAAACACAATTCTAATAATTCCTGTGACTCAGCCTGCCGAGCACACGGCTGTCCTCATTTAAATGGGAAAGTACAAATTGGGGTGGGTGGCGAGGGGAGGGGAGGGCTTCAAACATAACGGATATTGCCTCGAAGAGAGAATTTCCATGTAAGGGGGAAGAAAGATAAAAGGGCATGCAGCTGACAGTGTCTTCCTCCCCCGCCATGTCTGTGTTCTGCTGTGCTTCTACAAGCTGGGCAGGTAAGGCTCAGTGGTGCTTCCCAGAACGCACATGTGTGGCAATGCGGCCACGGGCCATGAGACAGATGCTGTGTCCTCAGCCCAACTTCTGGAAACATGCAGAACATCTCTGAGGAAAAAAAGATGCAACTCACAGATGGATTTGGACAAGCAATGTGCATGAGTCCAGACCAAGTGCCCATGTTTGCGCTATGCTCTTTGACGACTCCAGTATGACTTAATAGAGTTCAGAAAGCTATAATAATTACTATAACCCCCCCGTCTCTCTGCCCAACCTACCTCACAGGGTTGTCATTAGGAGAAAATGGAGGAAGGGAAAATGATGGAAGAAGAAGAAGAGGAGGAGGAGGAGATTGGATTTATACCCCACCCTTCGCTCGAAGTCTCAAGAGCGGCTTATAATCTCCTTCCCTTCCCCTCCCCACAACAGACACCCTGTGAGGTAGGTGGGGCTGAGAGAGCTCTGACTGAGAACTGCTCTTGAGAGAACAGCTCTGAGAGAACTGTGACTGGCCCAAGGTCACCCAGCTGGTTGCATGTGGAGGAGTGGGGAATCAAATCTGGTTCTCCAGATTAGAGTTCACCACTCTTAACTATTATACCAAAGTGGCCCTTGGTGAGCATTAATAATAACGCTGCATTTGTATATCACCCTTCCTCAGAAGAGCTCTGAGTGACCACATGGATAGAGTTTTTCCACGCGATCCTAATAGCCACGTGAGGCAGGTTAGACAGAGAGAACAAATGGCTCAAGGTGGCCCAGTGAGGCTCCAGATTTTTTTGGGTGGGGATGGGATTCACACTCATATCTCTCCAGTCAAAGTCCCAACCCAGTGATCTCCAAAAATGGTACCTACGGGTGCTTGCCGAAGTTGTTGGCTTGGAACGTCCCAACACTCACTCATTGCCCTCATGCCCCATGGCAGCCACTTTGTGGTAGCACCCACTATCCTTTCACAAAATCCCCAAAACGTCCACAAGCTCAACAGGGTTGGGGACCCCTGCAAGTCTAATCCGTGAACCACATGAAACCTGAATTGCCTTTCTATATTAGCATTAGAATAAAGGTCTGTTAAGCATAGGACTCTTCAACAGTGGCAGCTTGATGTTCCAAATATGTGTGTGTTATGGGCTACAGATTGGTGGTGGTGAGAAGTGCTGTCAACTCACAGCTGACCTATGGTGGACCCCATAGGGTTTTCAAAGCAAGAGATGTTCAGAGGCGGTTTGCCATTGCCTGCATCGTGACCCTGGAATTCCTTGGTGGTCTCCCATCCAAATACTAACCAGGGCTGACCCTGCTTAGCTTCTGAGACCTGACGAGATCAGGCTGACCTGGGCAATCCAGGTCAGAGTGACCTACGGACCTATGAATTAATGTCCTCCAAAACATCCTGCTGTTAACAGCCTTGGCTCAGGTCTTGAAAACGGAGGGCCGTCGTAGCTTCCTTTATTGAGTCCATCCATCTCATGGTTGGGTCTTCCTCTTTTCCTACTGCCTGCCACTTTCCCTAGAATTATTATCTTTTCAATACTCCCACTTAACCCAAAAGTCCCGCTGCCTCTTAAAGAATTTTAGAATTGTTTGTTCTTTTATATGAGGTGAGCTGCCCTGGGCCCTCTTGGGACACAAACCACAAAGATAGATAGACAGACAGACAGACAGACAACGACGACGACAAAGAAGAAGAAGAAGAAGAAGAAGAAGAAGAAGAAGAAGAAGAAGAAGAGGAGGAGGAGGATTGGATTTATACCCCGCCCTTCACTACCCAAAGGAGTCTCAGAGCGGCTTACAATCTCCTTTCCCTTCCCCTCCCCACAACAGACACCCTGTGAGGTAGGTGGGGCTGAGATAGCCCTCCCGAGAACTGCCCTTGAGAGAACAGCTCCGAGAGAACTTATGACTGACCCAATATCAACTGTTTGACCTCTGAGGAAGGCCTATGCAGGCCGAAACACATCCGGTCAGGTTTTTAAGCCCGAGTGTATTGCCATGTTATTTATATATTTGATGTGAATGGGCCCTTATATATGTTTTAAAATTTGTAATTAATAAATACATGTATCTTTTTCTATATATTTTCTACATTTAGTTTTTAATATTGGCCCTCTTTTTCACGTTTTACTAATCTTTGTTAGGTTCTGAATTTTAGTGTTAAGGTTCAGTTTTTTGCCCTTTCTGTCTCTGCTTGACCTAATATCACACCAGCAGCTGCACACGGAATCAAACCCAGTTCTCCCAGATTACAGTCCCCGCTCTTAACCACTGCACCAAAATGGCTATCTATCTATGACAGACAGATAATTTTTTTTAAAAAAAGGCACCACCTGCTCTTCCCACCAGATCCCCAAACTTACCCAAAGGAACTGAAGGGACCACTGGATCGATGGGTGAGGGCCGGGCATTCACTGGGATAGGCGTGGTGGGGCCGTTCACCATGACGTGGCCTGGAGGAGGGGAAAGGTCAGGTTACAAGCTGGCACATGGGGAAAGGCACTCAACGGCCACCGATGCCGGACTCCTGCCCCCTCCCGGCCTTCTGCCTTCTAGCCACGCACCCAGGTAGTGGAGGAGCTTCTGGGCTCGGTTCTGGCCCGGCCGCAGGTTGAAAAGGTCGGGGTTCTCATCGATGAACTGGGTGTCCACGGTTCCCCGGAGGAACTGGTCATTGCCGAGCACGTTCTGCAGGAAGGGGATGTTGGTCTGCAAGGAAGAAGGAGGCCAGAATGAGGCCAGGAGGTTGCCTCCCGTATCGGAGTTCTACAGGTTGCCAGACACAAACGTCAATATGCAAGAAATCTTCTGGGCCTGCCACCCACGCAGCACACTGCTTTGCAAGAACTGCCCCCAAAGTACAGCCAACGGAGCGCTCTGCCTCCAGCACCGATCAGCTGGACATCCTTAGACGTTCAGAAGCAGAGTACGAAAATGTAGGAGGAGCCCTGTGGAATCAGATCCATGTTCTATCTGGCCGGGCCTCCTTTCTCCAGCAATGGCCAACCAGATGCTTCTGGCAAGCATACAATGCAGGGTAAGAAGGGAATAGCGCCCCAGCAACTGCTATCACAGCACATGACCTCTGAACCTGGAGGTTCCATCTACCTATCGTGTATAATAGCTGCAGGTAGGATCCTCTTCCTCCATGAGTGCCTCTGATCCCCCTTGGAAGCCACCTCAATCCTCCAGCAACGCCTTAGAAACCAGCAAGATTTCCAGGGCATATGTTTTCAAGAATCAAAGCTCCCTTCATACCTGATGAAGGGAGCTTTGCCTCTCGAAAGCGTATACCCTGGAAATCTTCTATCTAAGGTGTTACTGGACTTGATTCTTTTTATACTGCAGACTAACATGGCTACCCACCAAAAACTCTCTCAATAAGTTCTTCCTTTCGCCTGTCCCAAACCCACCAATTTCACTGAGTGATCCTGAATTACCCCCAAAGGGGGGGAGAAACTGACTCTCTATCCACTTCCTTCAACCCATGCGTAGGTTCATATACTCCTACCATGTTGTCTCTACCCCCGGCCACCTTTCCTCGAAACAAAAAGCCCCCAAATTCTTCCTAGTCTCATAGGAAAGTTATCCTAACCCCTTGGGCAATTTTGGCTGCCCTCTCGAACCATACATTCACACACATGGCTACACCCACCAGGCACAATCAGTAGGCATACAATGCTGCCCGATATCCAGTCATCTGATCCCCCTTGGAAGCCATCTCAATCCTCCAGTAACGCCTTAGAAACCAGCAAGATTTCCATACCTGATGAAGGGAGCTTTGCCTCTCGAAAGCGTATACCCTGGAAATCTTCTATCTAAGGTGTTACTGAACTTGATTCTTTTTATACTGCAGACTAACATGGCTACCCACCAAAAACTCTCTCAATAAGTTCTTCCTTTCGCCTGTCGCAAGGAAGCTCCGCGAAGGCCCTCCCTGGCCCCAGGCAGACAGGGGTGGGGAGAGGCAGGGAGGAAGCAACTTACCCTCCATCTTCTCCTGCCTCCTCCTGGCTGAATGAGGGCGGGAAGCGGGGCGGCCAGAAGCAGGGGGCGGGGCTTCGTCATGTGCCCCGCCCCCGTACCTCACCCGGGGGAACTGCGATCCCCCGTGATCCCCCCCCGAAATGACCTCTGACATTCACACACATGACTACACCCACCAGGCACAATCAATAGGCATACAATGCTGCCCGATATCCAGTCAGACCACTGGTCCATCAAGCTTAATATCATCTGCTCTGGCTGGCAATCAGCGCCCAGGGTCTCAAGCGGAGAAACGTATTTTCCAGTCCTGCCTCTTGGGACACTTTATCTGATGCTCGGGATCGAACTCAGAGCCTTCTACACATAAAGTGTGTTCCCCACTGACCCACAGGAATCCCAGACCTGCTATCATTTAACAACTTAAACCTGGCCCATCTAAGAGGCCTTTCCCTCCTGGCATGCCTACCCACTGTTTTAAATCTATGCACACAAACGTATCTCATGGAAGGAGCTTTCACTCTCGAAAGCTCTCGATTGCATATCAGCCCAAGTAAGATCAAGGTGCCATATAAAACGGAATGGCTGTATCCAGCCAACTCTCCAAGAACATTTCTTTTTGGGGAACAAACGAACATCTCTTCTACTTTGGAGAAACTGAAGAACTCACTGCAGCTCCTTCGTACTTCAGTCGAGCCTCTTGATTTATTTCCCCCTGTGAGACGACCATCCGATTATAAGCCAAAGACGAGAGCCCATAGCACTGATTTGACCTTCCCTATCCCCGACACTGCTAAGAGTCTGCAGCTCTCTCATGACCTTGATACGTCAATATCCCTCTCTACCCCGTGAAAGGTGCTAACTCCAATTTTACCAACTGCCTTTAAAGCTAATGCATCAAAGGGAGAACCAACGGCCAGCAGCAGAGCATCTCAAGTAAAGACCAGCAAGCCCTCACAGGAGCCTCCTTTTATACAAAGCAAAGACCAAAGCATCTTTATGGGCGTCCCCAGAGGAACAGCTGAGTCCCAAAAGCTCCGGCATAGTGGAGTGTGAGAACAAATAGGAGGCTGGGAGGAAAGCATGGAGCAAGAAGCTCAGGGAGATGCTGGAAAAGCTTTCTGCAGTATGTCAGGAAGAACTCGACAAGATGCATCGGATCTGTCATCGTCCATCTGAAGAAACATAGCCCAAGAAGTAGAAGAGATCAACCTTCCGAAGGCTCTTTTGGTGGGGCAGCAGGAGACAGAGGCCTAAACTGGCGATGATGATCATAAGAACATAAGAGATGACAATGTTGGATCAGGCCAATGGCCCATCCAGTCCAACACTCTGTCACACAGTGGTCAAAAATACCAGGTGCCATCAGGAGGTCCATCACTGGGGCCAGGACTCTAGAAGCCCTCCCACTGTTCCCCCACCCCCCAAGCACCAAGAATACAGAGCATCACCTGCCCCAGCCTGTGAGTTCCTATCTATACCTTGTGGTTAATAGCCACTGATGGACCTCTGCTCCATATGTTTATCCAGTTCCCTCTTGAAGCCGTCCATGCTTGTAGCCACCACCACCTCCTGTGGCAGTGAATTCCATGTGTTAATCACTCTTTGGGTGAAGAAGTACTTCCTTTTATCTGTTCTAACCCGACCTCTCAGCAGTTTCATGGGGTGCCCACGAGTTCTTGTATTGTGAGAAAGGAGGAAAAGTACTTCTTTCTCGACCTGCTTCTTACCTTTGTTAATATTATTGCTTCTTACAGTTAATTAATACCGAAGCTTTTACAGCATTTCTAAATGAAGAGAAGCCAGCTGGTCTCTTCTGGCAATAGAGACTGGAAGGAAGAGGAGGAGTTGGGTGCCAGCCTGAGCCCCTCCCCTTTTCACCACCAAGGCCACCGGGGCCAAGTTGACCACAGGCAGAAAGCAAAGGGGGCGAGGGGATGACACCCCTCTAACGCTATTATGGCAGTTGAAAGATTGCACTATTTTTTATCTTATCTCAGTTATAAAACTGCAGTTATTACTGTCCTCATTAATATTAGTTGTTATGCTTCCAGGTTTTATTATTGTATTAAATTTACTGCAGGTGTTATTCTTGCAGTTTTTCTCATTATTGTACTTGTTCTTACACTTGTCATACCTCTTGTTATTATACAGTTTCCATTGTGCTTATAAAATAAATTTTAAAATTAAAGAAAAGAAAGCTTGCACCCTAAAAAACTTGTTGGTTTCTAAGCAGTCTCATAGCTACGGTGGGGCGTTTTGGGGCTGTGCCCCCTCAAATGTGACGCACGCCCCACAACAGCTGCTGCCCTTCTCCCCCTCCCTCCTCTCCAGTGACATTAAAAGGGCTCTCCAGTGGATTGGCAGGAGCATGTTCCCCCCCCCCCCAAGGCCTTTAAATGTTTTATTTTCAAGGCCAGGCTTCCCACGCCTGAACTCCAAGCAGCGAAATTGCCACTTGGAGTTCAGGGAAGGCGTGCAGCCACCCCTCTCCCTCCTCCCTGCTGCCCCACATAATTTCCCCATGTCCCACCAAACCTAAACTTTCTGGCTACGGGGCTGCCTCTACGGTGCTACTGGACTCGAATCTAGTGCACAAACGTAGCATGTGAACGGGGCAAGCTCCTTGTCTGCTGATGCCTGTATCACCCAGGAGACAGCGGCCTGCAATCAGTGGGCACCGTCAAGGCTGGTTCCGGGTGTTGAGGGGCCGCCTTGGGCAGAGAGTGCCCTGTGGCCCCTGTCTGCCCCCCACCAGGCCCCCACCATACCTTTCCACCCCTTCCACCTGCCTTCTCCCGCTCGTGAGCCCTCCCACTGCCCATGCTCCATTGCCTGAACCATCTACTCTGTGCTCCACGTGCCTTTCCCCAATGCCTCTGGAGAGCTGTGGATGTGGGTGGCAAAGCATGTCAGGCAAACAGGGGGGGGAGGGCATGCAGACAGGGGGCAGGGGAGATGTGTGGGTGGGAGTCAGCAGCAGTGGGCCCCACTAGGAGCTCTGGCAGCTGCCCCACCGCAGGGCATGCTGGTGCTGGCCCTAGGCGCTGCATTCCCCATCAAGCCTAGATCCTGTGCAAAATAAGTCACAGAAGCCTCAGGCTTGGCTCTTCCTTCCACTGCAAGAAATGCCAGGCTCCGTTTCACCGTGATCAGGCAGCCTCAGATGCGTTCACGGGAAGCCTCGGGGGCATTTACGGCAGGATCCGCCTCTTTCCTGCTTCCAGCAACCAGAATCTGAGAAGCCGGCTCTCCTCTGTTTCTTTTGCAGGGGGGACGGATGTTACTGCCCTAAGGAAAAGAGCCACGAACATCCCTTGCAACCACCGGCTTCTAAGGGTTCCCTGCTGTGAACCTGCAGGCTTTGAGTGTCAGGCTCAACCACAGCCTCTGTTCTTCCTCCTCCCCAGACGCAGGCCGCTCTGCTGAATCGCAGCCTGCTGGAAATTGCTGTTCTTTTAGGCTAAAGGGTGGAAACTGGCCAGGAGCTGAGAAACGGTCCGGAAATGAGGGAAAGCGGAGTTTGTGCTATGCTTAATGAGGAGATCCGTGTTCTGGTCTCCCAAGGGCAGATCAAGTCCCGGATGACTTATGGTGACCCTGTAGGGTTTTCAAGGCAAGAGACGTTCAGAGATGGTTTGCCATGGCCTGCCTCTGGGTGCGGTCGGACGGCGGGCTGGGAGCGGTGGAAACCGCTCCAGTTCCAACTGGATGAATTCGATCCGGGAGAAGCACGATCACACTCACCTCTCACATTGCTCCCCGGCGTCCACACTTCAGGCACTCAGCAGAGCGCGTCGGCGGGTTTTAAAAAAATTTCTACACAGTCTGTGCATGCGCATAGGCAATCTTTCATATAATTGAGATCTTTGCACATGCGCATAACACCGTAGCCCAAAAAGCATGCCCTGAAGTGAAGACTTCCCTTTAAACTTTGACATCGAAACTGGCCTCGGTGAGGTCCCGGATTCGTCTGAGGACTGAAACTGGGCACCGTTTAAAGTTTGCTATTACTAATGCCGGGGCGAAGCTTTGCCCAAGCACACATCGCCTTCGATTAAAAAAAAAAAATGGAGGATGAAAAGCGGAAGCCTCGGGCTTCCGAACGGAAGTGGCTCTACACCGGCGGAGAGCGATCAGACGGGGGAAATGCGGCTAGAACCGAAGCACTCAGGAAAACACCACTTGGGGACCTAGTAGCAAACTACACCGGTTTAAGGGGTGTTTGCGACGGCTGGCAACAGTTAGGGACGGGAGGCAGATGTTGTGAGTGTGATCACGCATAAGTACTCCGTTTCTAACCGGTTCATAAAACAGCTCAAATGCCCTGTCTGAACGCACCCTCTGTGTCATGACCCTGGTATTCCTTGGAGGTTTCTGATCCAAATACTTGCCAGGGCCGACCCTGCTTAGCTTCTGAGATCTGATGAGATCGGGCTAGCCTGGTCAGGGAGAGGGCAGGACTACCGGTGAACAAATTGTACAGAGTCAGACCCCTGCCAGGTGCCCTCCAGCCTGGCTTGGAAGCATCCCCGGAAACCTCTGGCAGCCCGTGTTGGAAAGAAGAGGGCAGACTGGATGGACCTTTGGTTGGACCCAGCTGGGCTCCTGCAGCTTTAATTACCTGGGCCAAATGCTCTGGGGGGAGGCATGTCGACCTCGGCCTAAGTGAATATGGGCAGGGGGTGGGAAGGAGCTGCTGACACCAGGTGAATGTCGACTGGGTCTGATTGGAGAATATACATTATTATTATTATTATTTTAAAAAGGAACAGTGGATAGTGCATTTTTCTGAATATGGTAATAAAATAAAGCAAAACACACCAGGAGACGCTCAGGATGTCTGGAAGCAAAAGAACGCAGGCCCCAAATTGAACACGTGACATTTCCTTCTACTGGGCCAGGTCTGGGTTATCATAGAATGTCACCTTCGGGTTGTGGGAGGGGGTCGAGTCGGCCGTGGGTAAGATCCAGGATGCTGCTGAACGCCGGAGAGTCAGGGTTCGCCTCAGACTGTTGTTGATAAAGTTCACTCTTAGCCAACGGTGGGGTTCGATAGAACAGTTCGAGTGGATCTCGGCTGTCTGCCTCTCGCTCCCTCCTCTCTGTCTTTCCCTCGGACCGGCACCTGCATCCTCCCCGGCTTACACCTGGTAACACCTTTTATTTGTGTTCAGATTCAACACCTGTTCCGCCACCCACCACCCACGTCTTAAAGGAACCTAGCCACAAGACTGAGCTCCAGTGGGTTCTGGTCTTGCTCCTCAACCCACCATCCCAGCTTCCAGCGGTCATACCCTTGACGCCCTGCCCAATCTGTCCCGCGACCTTGTTCCCCTCCCTTCCCTGGGCATCCTCCCCTACGAGGGCGTTGTGCCAAGATTCTGGGTCCTCCCGGAAACAGTCTGGGACTCGTTTCGGTCTTTGTTCAGGTGCTGACTGGGAGGTTCCCTGCACAGTCGGGAGGGAGATGGTGTTGCCCTCCTGACATAGAATCATAGAATGTGAGAGTTGGGAGGGACCTTGCAGGTCATCTAGTCCAACCCCCTGCACTCTGCAGGAGCGTAGCCGAAAGATAGCCCTACAACATACCAGAAAGATGGTCGTCCAGCCTCCGCTTGAAAACATCCAGCGAAAGAGCATCCACCACCTCCCGAGGCAGACTGTTCCACTGCTAAACCACTCTTACAGTTAGGAGGTTTTTCCTGATATTTAGCCGGTAACGACTCCCTTGTTGGTAAATACCTGGTGATTTGGGGGCTGGAGCCTGAGGAGGACAGGGTTTGGAGATGGACAGGGACCTCAGCATGGTACTAGGCCACCAAGTCCTCCCTCCAAAGCAGCCATTTTCTCCAGGGGAACTGATTTCCGTAGCTCAGAGATCGGTTGTAAAAACAGGAGGTCTCCAGGCCCCACCTGGAGGTTGGCAACCTTAGTCAGATAGTCTAGCTTTTTAAAGATATATCTTTTACAACATTTATACCCTGCCTTTCTGCTCTCACAAGGGCCACCAAGGTGGCTAACACGTGAAAACATACATAACAAAATGACATTTAAAAACCGTTAAAAACCCCCCAAGCGAGTATCACCTCCTCTGACTGGAAGTGACTTTTCGAGCTGTTGAGAAGAGAAAGATCTTTCTGCTACCTGAAATCCTGGAACTGGAGACTGAACCTGTGATCTTCTGCATGTGAGCTGAGTGCTCTGCCACGACAGATCCTCACAGAGGCCACGACTCAGAGGCATGTGGCCCCCCGTGAGGTCCCAGGTTCAATCCCCCAAACCAAAAACTGGGTAACAGCTGACATTTGAGAACGCTGCTGGAGACCCTGGAGAGCCTTTGCCAGTCAGAGAAAACAATCCTGACCCTGACAGAACTATAGTCCGAGCAGAGAAGCTGAGGGGTCTCTCTGCGGGGTGAAGACGTGCTTTGCTGCTCCCTCGGGGACGGCTGCGCTGTCCCCTGCCCCTCGATATAACCGGGAGAGATGAAACGCTGAGGGCGCAAAGCTCTGACTGGGGAATGAGAGAGGGGAGCCGAAGACAAGCCCTCAGGGGGACACCAGCTGCTGGAGCACATCGGAGGGACTACAGGAAGGGAAACAGGAAGGCTGGCGGAGCAGCCCCTTGGGACACCTCGCTTCCCTGAGGAAGGAGCAGAAGGCCCCGAAGGCCTCTGTAGACCCAGATGCCAGTGGCGCGTTTGTGCTGCACCCATGGCTCATGCCCTCATGGGATTTCTGTCTCTCAGGGAGCCCAGAAGGTGCCCTTCACTTCACCTCGGGGAAGCTTTCCTCTGGCGTTTCCTCTGACAGGCACCCTATTCTCTTGTCTGCGGCCTTCTGCTCAAGGACGTGGGGCCCCTCAGACAAGGCACAGCCTCCTTCTACCTACCAGAGGTGTCGCATCTCAACTGAGGGTCAAAAGGCATGTGAGACCAGTGATGGGATCTCTCTCGATGTATTTTTCTTTTTAATGCTGCTAACAACAACAGTAACGGTAATACATTATATGAAAAACATGAATAAAAGTTATAACTATGAGCAAAAAAAAAAACCCTAGTAATAACAATAACCAGTGGTGTACCATAAGAGGAATGCTGGTGAAACATTTCAGATACTTAAGATCTGATTGCTTAATAACCAGGATGGAGCTGTATTTTAAGGGCCGTTAGTGGATTGTCTGTGTAGATTTTTCAATGGATTAAAAAAAGTGCCCTGATCTGGAAAGCCCAGTTCAATTATTCAAAAGCAAAATGTCAGTCTGCGCACTTCCCGATACCATAGGTACCTTTGTTCACCGGCAGGGCTCTTTTTGTAGAAAAAGCCCAGCAGGAACTCATTAGCATAATAGGCCACACCCAACAGCAGGAACTCATTAGCATATTGGGCCACACCCCTGACAGAGCAGCTCATTAGCCTATTAGGCCGCACCCCCACGTTACCAGAAGTGTGGTCATCCAGCCACACCCACCTTTTGCTTCTTATTCTGTTTACCTTGTTTGTTGTCAAAACCCAGGGCCTTTTTTTGTAGCAGGGACTCCTTTGCATGTTAGGCCACACACGCCTACTGTAGCCAATCCTAATGAGTGTCTGCTGTTGGGTGTGGCCTATTATGCTAATGAGTTCCTGCTGGGCGTGGCCAACTTGGGAGCCAGCCGGAACTCCGTTCCTGTGCGTTCCTGCCCAAAAATAGCCCTGTTCACCGGTAGTCCTGCCCTTGCCCTGACCAGACTAGCCTGATCTCATCAGATCTCAGAAGCTAAACAGGGTCGGGCCCTGGCTAGTATTTAGATGGGAGACCTCCATGGAATACCAGGGTCATGATGCGGAGGCAGGCAATGGCAAACCACCTCTGAATGTATCTTGCCTTAAAACCCTACGGGGTCGCCATCAATGCTCCCTCTAAGCTGTGGAGTCTTGTGAGCAAAAATTCTACTTTGTGAGCTACTGGCATCAAAGTTGTGAGTGAGCAATTTGGCTACTGCATAAGTTAGTTTGCTCTGGAGCCATCCTTCCTGAACTAAAGACAAAAATGAGTGAGCCGGAGGCTGGAAAACTGTGAGCTAGCTCACACTAACTCAGCTTAGAGGGAACACTGGTCGCCATAAGTCAGCTGGGAGTTGACAGCACTTTCCAACACACAGAAACAGACACACACACACACATGGTATCCATCTATTTGTGAAATGAGTTCTGTCAGATGGATTGTCAATAATTTTGAGCTGAGATGAAATGTTATCCAAGATCAAGAGATCCCAAGTCTTAAGACACTTAAAAAAAATTATGTATGAGTATTTAAAACAATCATACGTACTTTTATTTTCTTCCAAGATGCTGCAACTAGGAATTTAGCAGCCACCAAGAGCAATGAAACAAGCTCCCATTTTATTTGGGGTATTGTTTTATGATCAAGCATTTCCAGCAAAGCTGCAGACATTTCTAACGGGATTTTATATCTTGATGTATTTTCCTAATAGTAAGATGCAAACACAAGCAATGACAGTACAGGATTGGAATGGGAGCCACAGTGCAGGGGGAGAGGGGTTCAGCCCTTTCTCCTCATGCCGTTTCCCCCAAAAGAAATGCATTCCCCAACTGTCATTTCCCCCATGAACAGGGGGAAAAGACAGGCAACATACCGGACCTGTCTTTTTCTCTATTAAGGCTAATAGTACCTGGGAGGAAAGCAAAAGGTGGAAAAGGCTAACCCTCTGGGCCAGGGAGGTGGGAGAGCACCTGTGTTGCCTACAGAAGATCCGAGGTTCAGTCCCAGCTACAAGGATCAGGAAGCAGGTGGGGCAAAAGACCCCGCAGAGTCACTGCCAGTCCAAAAGAACCATACCATCCTCTGCAGACCAACAATCTGAGTCAGTATAAGGTAGCTTCATGTGTTAAACAGTATTCCCCCTTCTCCAGTCTAAATCCAGCTGGTCCTTTTTATAATAATATGTTATTCCCCCTTTCCAGCTGGTCCTTTTTATAATAATATGTTGAGAAGCTTGATTCCTGCTCTTTGACATAACCCTGGGAACTGTCTCTGATCACCTTGGGTGCTCCCTGCAAGTGGCAAATGACAGGACTGTTGTGGCGAGGAGGGCAGAACCCTTTTTGTAAACTTAGCAAATGAAATACAGAAAGAGGGAGAGGGAGAGGGAGAGAGAGAGAGAGAATTTGCTTTAAAAATCAGAGATTCATAGCTCAAGATGAGTAGCCATGTGTGTCTGTCTGTAGCAGTAGAAAAGAGCAAGAGTCCAGTAGCACCTGAAAGACTAACAAAATTTGTGGCAGGGTAGGAGTTTCCATGAGTCACTGCTCAGAAGTGCTCAGAAGTGAACAGTGACTCGCAAAAGCTCCTCCCCTGCCACAAATCTGGTTAGTCTTTATAAGGTGCTACTGGACTCTTGCTCTTTTCTACTGCTAGAGATTTGTAGCGCTGAAGGTGGAACAAACTAAATGGAATAAAGATATAGTTTGCATTTTAAAAAATCAGAGATTCATAGCGGTAAAGATGGAGCAAACTAGATGGAATCAAAGATATTTCTACTTGGATGACAAGGAAGTGTGTGCGTTTGTGTGTGTGTGTGTGTGGTGTGCGCGTCAGTGTGCATGTGCGTAGGCAAAATAACCACCCTTCAAGTAAACTTTAGCTGTTTATGCTAATTCTAAGAGGTAAACACATACATGCATACATTTAAATGTGTATAATTAGGGATGCCAGGATAATCTGACAGTTTTGTCTTCCCACAGCGGATGCTATAGCTTGGCTGGGGCATACAATTATCACAAACCCACCTCTTATCTGTTCAATTCTCTGTAATTTAATTTTTGTCAGGGAAAATTAGCATAAACGGCTGAGCGAGCAAACTCTGTGTGTGTGTGTGTGTGTGTTTGTGTGTGTGTGTGTGTGTGCGTCTGTACAGTTTGAGGAGGCCATGCTAAAGCCAAATGCACAACCTGGTTGAAAGGACAGGACTGGATCTATTCCTTTCGATGGACTGTGGCAGAGCATCTGATTTATACCCACAGGCCCAAAGGTATCTGAGATGCCCGCTGCAATTTTGGTGGACACCCAAGACCATGTATTTTTTTTAAAAAAAAACCAAACACTTTTGTGTAAATACAGGCTTCATGGAGAATGTACTCTGCGACATGCTCAGGTTTCTCCAGAAGGGGGCAGGCCTACCTTCCCGATTTGACCGGATCCCTGAGAGCAATAGGGAGGGAGTTACCAACTCCCATATGTCTGTAAGGTCCGTGGGTTCCGGCTCATTGCGAAAGAATTCCCAGTGCATCCCATCCTGCCATTTGCATGCCTGCCTCTCTCCGAAGGCTAAGAAACAAACAGGTTTTTCTCTTCCTCTCCCTCCCTCCCCCCCCTCCCTCCTTCCTTCCTTCCTTCCCTCCCTCCCTCCCTCTCTCTAATCAATAGATTTTTCTTTACAGGCCATAGGCCAAGGGAAGAATTTCCACTTGATTCATCATCTGGCTTTTAACAGATCCGTCAATTGCTAATTAAGACTACGACCTTTAGCTGATTAATCGGGTTTGATTAGTCAGTTTAAAACATCGCTGACTGACTTTATACACAAAAAGGACATTAATCCGAAAGGAAGCTTTTAAAAATTCTGAATTATTTTTTAACACGACTGATAAAAAACTGCAGATAAGCACAGCCTGGGAGAGAGATTCCCCTCTGTGCAAGCACATGTGCTCGGATGCTTGTTCTAAGAAGATGCCTGCAGTGTGCATTCTCTAAAAATAAAGTAGGCTTATTTTTTTACAGCTACGTTTTTTGCAATTTTTATTATTAGCATTGGCATAGCACTTCCAGTGTTTCAAAACACTCCACACACATGATCTTGTAATCCTTACATCATCATTGTACAGTAAGCCAATAATCCTCGTATCCTGAGTTTGTTGGCAGCGGCAAGATTTGAACTGGTGACTTTCTGGATCACAGCTTAGTCTCTTACCCACTATGCTACCGGAGCTCCAAGTTTAATAAATTATGTTTTTTTAAATTACAGGGTTAATCAATGGCTGTAGACGCGTGGCAGCCCTATAAACAACTGCTCACTGATGACAATGAAGATTAAATGCATTTTAATAACTGCAAAAACAAAAAACAAAAGGCCATGCTGCTTGTTAGACGGAAAGGCTGTCTTCTCCCACCCACCATTGTTTTGTTTTGTTTTTTTTAAAAGAAGCTTAAGCACTGATTTGCAAGAAATATCTTCCAGAAACACAAGCGATATAATGGGACCAAAATAATAATAATAAATCAGATCAATAAAATGCCATAAAAAAGAAAGCAGATTCACAAAAAAACCCTAAAATTCATGAGCTGCAAAGAAGCGGAAAGCACATTACTTTAAAAAAAAAACCCCCGATACGTTAAAATGATTTGCTCTTTCTTGGGTGGGGCAACAACTGGACATGATCTAGAGGCATACGCTAGAAGTGGAAGCCGGGTGCTGACAACACACAGCTGTCTGGAATGTCCCTTATTACAGGGACACGCCAGGACAAATATCAGCCCTGAACAAATAAAAATGTGCCCTCTGCCACCTGCCCTTCCCAACTAAAATTGCGACTGCTAACCGAGGATGCCTTTCGATTCACCTGCCAGCTGACAACTTCCAGCCCCACCTTTCTCCTCCGCTCGGAGTGCGGAGAGCATCTGGAACACCAGCCCCCTCCCCCTCGCTGCTGCCCGACATACACAGAGTCCTAGATTTCAGTTAATCTGCCCTAACCACTAGATAGCACGCCAGAACTGGGAGCACAGCCCAGGAATCTCAAAAGCTGGCCTGGTGAATGGCAGAGTGGAAGCTAGGAGGACCCAGGAGACAGCTGCCCGTGCTCTGGTGATCATCAGTTTCTGCCCTCTGCCTCTGGGAACCCAGGAGTCCTGGCATACCCCTGACTCTCCCCCAATCCCACCCACCCCGACGATTCCAGGGGGGATGGGGTTGAGCACACACATGCAAAGGGGGGGGTGCCCTGCTGTATCATCACACACACAATAAGCTCCTTATAACTCAAATCCCACCTCCTTGTCCCCAATGCTCAACAAATCCCTCTCCATATTGAGCCTATCTGTCCGGCCTCTTTGTCCGTGTTAATAATAATAACAAAAACTGCTCAGCAGCTGCTGAGATAAAGACCCGGCAACCTCACATGCCTCCTGCTCTTCTCCGCCTCGCGATTCAAACCCAGTGCTTAAAATTGTTGGAGAGGGGGGAAAAACAGACTGGGTCACGGTTAGATCTTACCCACCCATGGCAGTTTAAAACAATAGGTAAAGGGATGGCGGGGTGCCTCCCCCCCCACCCTTCCAGCACTTGATGCATTGATTCCACTCCCTTTCGGCTAACAAGAGGAGATGAGCCAGAAGATGCTGTGGCTCAGTGGAAGAAGCTCTGCTTTGCATGCAGAAGGTCCCAGGTTCAACCCCTGGCACCCCCAGTTAAAAGGATCAGGTTGCAGGTGATGGGAAAGAGCTTTGGGGCTGTGGCTCAGTGGTGGCTTTATGTGTATTCAGCAGAACCCCCAATCCCACCCTTTCTGTTATTGCCATCAGCATACCTATGTAGCACCCCCATCCTCACACCTTTGCTAGACTCTCTACATCAGCTCTCAACATTGCCACTGTTTGCTTTGCAACGGTCTATCCTCTGCCGCTTTAAAAACCAGGAGGGTGTTTGTTCATTAAAGGTATTGAAAAGATTTCTACAATCTGTTATCAACAGCTCAAAATTTGCTCACATCCTGTGTGGAATGGCAGGCCGTATGTTGCGTGGAGCCTTACTGTTCATGCGCAGGCATGGACATAGATGTGCCCTTATGAAAAGATGTATTCAGTAGAGAGTGAACTTTTTGGAGACCCCAGGGACGCAGTTAATGTGGAGAATGACAATGGAAGCAATTCACACAATGTTTTAATTACATCCCTGTCATTTACAGGTATTGGAGGGACCGGGGCCAGAAAATTGAGACAGTCCCTATTGGACTCCCTACATATCCTGAGTCTTTCTACACACCATCAGATCTCTCATCTTCCAGCCTCATGTTTTCCATTTATTTAATGCCTTCTTGGACTCCCTACATATCCTGAGTCTTTCTACACACCATCAGATCTTTCATCTTCCAGCCTCATGTTTTCCATTTATTTAATGCCTTCTAAAATTCCCATTTCTCCTCCAAGGAACTCCGAACAGGGTGCTGGACGCTGAAGAGGCTGAAGAGGCGGCACAGAGATATTCTAAACAAATAAATACATGGCTTCTTATTTTATCCTCTCAACGACCCTGTGAGGTGGGGTAGGCTGACAGAATGAAGAAGAAGAAGAAGAGAAGAGATTGGATTTATACCACGCCCTTCACTTGGAGTCTCAGAGCAGCTTACAAAATCCTTCCCCTTCCCCTCCCCACAACAGACACCTTGTGAGGTGGGTGGGGCTGAGAGAACTCTGACACAAACTGCTCTTTTTCAAGGACAGCTGTGCCAGAGCTTGTGACTGACCCAAGGTCACATCAGCAAGGTGCAAGTGGAGGAGTGGGGAATCAAACCCGGTTCTCCCAGATTAGAGTCCGCGCACTTAACCACTACACCAAATGTGACCCAGCAAGCTTTAAGGCAGTGTTGGGATTTGATCCGAGGTCTCTGAGACCCTTAGGGTCCGGCACTCAAACACTACACTGTGCTGGCTCTCTGCCATTTCCAAAAGATCCAATTGCTGTGTACTACCCAACCCATCTGGACTGAACTATGACCCCTTGTTCCACTGACCCTGCTTGGCTCCCAGGCATATGTTGCCAGGCTGGGAGGGTCTGCAATTTCCAACCACCCCTTTCATGCATCCTGGCAGACACGGTGATTCTAATGGCTCTCCAGAGGTAAAATTATCCACTGTAAGAAGGTGGTGTCGTGTGTCCCTTTTAATGCCATTACCTTATCATGCCTATTTCCGAGATCCTTTCTACCTCAATAACTATTATGCTACTATAACGTACTATTTTAGTGGTTCATTCCCTTCTAATAGAAATTTTAAGATGATAATCAGTCCCATAACACTTATACTGCGTTAGAGTATAAAAAAGGGACTTCACACACGTATGAGAGCCAGCTTTGTGCAGTGGACCCAGAAGATTCAGATTCGAATTCCCACTCTGCCATGGAAGCTGGCTGGCTGGGCCAGTCACATAAGCTCAGGCAGGGTTATAATTTGCAGGGTTATGCTGAGGATGCAATGGAGAAGGGGGAAAGGCTGTATTACGGATTGGGGAGAAAAGTGGGGTATAAAGGAAACAAAATAAATATATACATAAATATCATCATTATGATCCTTACAATAGTCCTGTAAGACAGGCCAGGATTATTATCCCCATATTACAGATGATGAAGAAGAGATTGGATTTATACCCCGCCCTTCACTACCCAAAGGAGTCTCAGAGCGGCTTACAAACTCCTTTCCCTTCCCCTCCCCACAACAGACACTCTGTGAGGTAGGTGGGGCTGAGAGAGCTCTGACAGAAACAAGAACAGCTGTGCCAGAACTATGGCTTGCCCAAGGTCATCCAGCAGGCGCAAGTGGAGGTGTGGGGAATCAAACCCGGTTCTCCAAGATTAGAGTCCACACACTTAACCACTACACCAAACTGGCTCATGAGAGAATGGTTCACCTACAGCCATCTAGGAAATTCATGGCAGAAGCAAGATTTGAACACAGGGCTTTGCCATTTGCAGCTCAGTCCCTTAGCCACTCTACCGCAGTAGCCCTTGATATGTTCCATGATTAAGGTTGCCAACCTCCAGGTGGGGCCTGGAGCCCACTTGGAATTACAACTGATCTCCCAGACTACTTTGATCATTTTTCCAGGAGAAAATGGCTGTTTTGGAGGGTGGACTCTATGACATTATCCCCCACTGAAGTCTGTCCCCTCCCCACTCTCCATCTCCACAAATCTCCCAACCCAGAGTTGGCAACCCTATCCATAATGCATTTTGCAATTACAACATTTTGTATACAGCCGAAGTGGGGGGGGTAAATTCTCAAGTTCTTGCCAGTGAGATAACTGGATCTATAATTCCCTGTGCAGCAAACATTGTCTTAAGTTATTTTAGAGTGGTTGGGTGTGACAACGTATTGAATTAGTAGTGAACGCACAGCAACAAACATTTATATTGCTTCTTACTGGGGGGAAAATTGGATGCCACTTTCATTTCACATAGGTTGGAAAGGATGTGGTCAACCGCCCTTACATCTAAATTAACTTACGTCTGGAGGAAG